TCGTGTAATAAGGTAGAATTGCTAGGGTGTTAGCAATTTCAGAACTATGTGTATTACCGAATTGAACTASAATTAATAAGTATGGGKTTGTTAYARGATAATTGTAATTGATTGTTTGAATCATTGTTTCCGCGCTGTTTGTTTATTGGACCGTTGAGGATCATTATTTATGATAATAGTGATCCGGGTTGAAATTTTTTTTATTTGACGGGTTGGGTCGTCACAATTTTACTATATTACATGGTATACTATGCAAATATATAACATAATATATACCATATAACGTGTAGTATCATATTAATCATGTTATAAATAATATTCAAACATATTTTTAAGTTTACTGCTATGTAACATAACATAACATATAATATTTATAATTATACCATAATTATCATATTAATATATGATATAACATGCCATCTTTTCATATAACATGTTATACGATACAATAATATGACATACCATGTTAATATACGATATTTTGTATAATATATAAATGTTATACGATACAAGAATATGATATGTATAATAATACTTTGGTATACCATGTTAATATATGACATGTTGTATGAATATAACATGCTATATCAATTAAAAATATAGTATATAACATATTATACTATGTTTTATTCTTACATTTTATAAATAGTTTGAGTAATCACAAACATAATAAAATGGGATCATCAATATATATATGGTATGTCATATTTATGATGTTACATTTCATTGTAATATTATATGACTAATTTGTGTAATATATGTCAATTTTTAAAATTTCAAATTATAAAATATATAGAAAAAAATCTTTTTTTTATATATAGATGGTAAAATAATTTAATATTTAAAAAAAGTATTAGACAAAAAAATATCAAACGGAAGACCAAAGTGATGAAAGAGAAAATTATAGAAAAGAAAAAAATTGCCATTTTTCATGGTATGTCATACTTTTTCCTGACACAGCCTGACACAGATTGACACAATAAGAAGGGTATTCAAGTCATTTGGCTCTATTCAGTTAATAAATTTAAAAACCGACTATATCGTTAAATATACTAGTTTGACATGTTACATTGTGATATTCCCCTTTAAACATATCTTTTTTTGTTTACTTCTCCTTCATGAGCTATATTAAAAATAAATAAAAAAACATAAATGCCCCTTCTCTCGAGTACTTGGGCTCCAATTTTTATTTGTTAAATTACCAAACGATTCCCAAAGACTTTTCGATCTGTTCTTTTTCTTTACTGGTCTTGATTAAAATGTATTCCTTTTTTGTTAAAGGCGAGCGGTGATCGAGCGCCTAATGCCTAGAACATCTAATCGGAGCCTAAACGATTCAATAGGCGGTTTAAACGTTTTACAAAAATACATAATATATTAAATATATATATATAACATAATTTATGAATAAAAACATTTATATTGCATTTATATTCAATTATTCATCATTTTATACCAAAATATATAGAATATTACGATTTATATATAAAAAAAAATTTATCTTATTTTATTATTATAATATCATAATATTTTAGGCGGTATAAACGCTAATCGCCACGGTCTATAGAGATCTAGTACCGCTTAGCTGAATGCCTAGAACGCTTTTTAGAACACTGCTTTTTTTTAAAAGGTTTAGTTTTAATAAAATAGACTCGGGATCTTTTTTTAAATATCTTTGGTAAAGATGAAATTTTTTTACCTATAAGCTCTAATCTATGCTTTTTGGCAACCAAACAAAAACCAGTGACACAATAAGTAAGATTCACTGTGAATTGCAAAGTGAAAAGTGGAAGAAAAAAATCTAGATAGTTAACAAAACTGTCATTCTATATATTCTTCATTTTTTTATCCTTTTTTCCTCAAAATTCCTTCTATGTATATATGTTACTAGATTTGCTGTTTGCTATATCAGCCCAAAATAATGGACTAAGAAAAAAAAACTCCATAGGCAAAAAGAATAGGAATAGTGCATCGAGAGCTTGTTTGATCTTTACAAAAACAGTTTCTTTCCGCGAAATCCTACGGGTTGTCTCGATGTAGTTTCAATGAACCTGTAATTATTGGAGATTCTTTTTCTTGCAATTATATACTTTGATTATATGCTCCTGTAATCAATTAACAAAAAACTAAAATTGTCAATAGATCACCAAATAAGTAGCCTTTTTATTTTCAATTCTTTGGATTACTTTGGTTGAGCATATGTAAATTATAAATTTACGAATTCTCTCGTAAGTTGCCTATAACTTGAATCCCACCAATTATTGTATATCAATATTCGAAAATTATTTTCATGTGAAGACATTTTTAGTCTACGATGTTTTTTCCAAATTTTTTTACAAATGAGATAAGTCAATAGGACTATTCAAAAAAAATTTGATCATTTTCAAAGGATAATTCAAAACGATTATAAACGGTTACATTTCAATATATA